AAATATGTAAAGTTTGTGCTTGTGGAAGTTGCTGCTTTTTTTCCCTAACACAATTCTGGTTATCAGACTATTGCATGCCCCATTCATGAAATGGCATTTTGTTTGGATGATGTAGCATAAAACAGGCTCTGGAACCCGTTTTTTAAGCTTCCCTTATAGTTATATTAATTTATAATATACACTGACTGATAGCTTTACAAAACAAATGAATGAATTGGCCTTCATGAAAACAACTCTTTACAGTAAGTGAAAAAGGGTTATCACAGTTTTGGTAACTTGCATGAGTTCATATTAAAAACAAAAACAGAAAACCTTTCACGTGTTCCCTCTGACCTGAAAACCACCTCTTTCTAGGCCACACTCAGTTGTATGCTCTGAAGCAATAGACCCCATACAGCTTATGCTTTTTATCCGGGAACCCGACAAAACGCACTGCAGCCTCGGTAGGACTGCAGCGCCTTCTTGGCCGAGAAATAGGGTAGCGGACACTGCCATCCGCCAGCCAGCCGGCATCACAACGGTCATAGCCCAGAAGCTTCCAGGCAGCAAATATTTGGCCCACTTTGGCTATCTGAGCACCATCATTGAGACAAGCTTGCACCGCCTCATCGTAGGTGAGCTTGGTAGGGTGGATCAGGTAGTAAAATCGACCTGTGGAGAGAAGGAGAAAGAGTGTAAGCTAGCCTGGGACAGAACCACAGAGAAGGAAGAAGCCAAAAGCTAAAGTGTTTCTCAGTGAGGAAGCACAGAGCAACATCTGAAATTTGGAGAACATAGCACTGCCATCTCAATGTCATATTAATAGGTCACTCTAGATTAAATAAATTCACCTTCCCCTTGCTTCTTGGCATGTGCTCACACATGCCCTTGTACAGCATTAAAAAGAAAAGGGCAATGGCAGATGCAGTTTCTGTTAGCTAATTAGAGACTAAAAGAGCCCTTCTGTAATTCTAGGGAAGACAGAATTCCACGCCGAAAGAAGGGCCATTGAAATTCTACTTGTAGCAAGACTGAACCCAAGTACGAGTTTCTAGAGAGGCAACATTTGAATGTGAAAGGATCAAAAAACGTTCCTGACATAAAAGTCCATTTAAGAAAATCAAAAGCCCTCAAGTTCTTTTCATTACAGGTATCAATAAGACCTTATTCTCAACCAAAGCGTGTAGCATAAGAATGCGTTAAACACAGGAAGTCACTCGCCATCAATGATACACTCACTGAATGCAAACAGGGCCTGCACTCCTTACTAGTCGGGGCGTTTGTGGATGCTTTAAAACTTCCATCCTTTGAAGCCTGACCTCAGGCTACTGCTTCATCGCATAGGGACACTGCTACTTCCAACCACTTATTGCAGTATTAGTTACTGGAATCCCATTAACACGGTGAAATATAAGATGTACAAAATGTATTCTCAATTGACTTCAGCAGCATTTGCTGAATATATTTTCGTTCGTCTTAGTTTCAAGTTTATATCACATTTCCTTATCAGATACACCCTATAATGTAGTGTTCACTGGCCCTCATTAAACATGGTGCTCTTGTGTGTGTGTGTGTGTGTGTGTGTGTGTGTACATTTGTTTATGGTTTTGAATATGTGGCACGTGGCTGTTAGAGGGACCATCATTGGTGTCACACTCAGAAATGCCCTCTATGTCTTTTGATACAAGGCCTCTCATTAAACTTGCCTAGTTGGTCAGTGAGTCCCAGGGATCCCCTTGTTTCTGCTTCTCCATTGCTGGGATTTTAATTGTGCCCCAGTACAATATTTGGAATTTCAATTATGAGTTCTTAGGAATGAACATAGCTCTTCCAGTTTGGGAGGCAAGTGTTTTACAACTGAGATGTCCTCCCCTCCCTGTCCCAAAATAGGCAGCCAAAGTCTAAACTAAGGTTACGGATTCTTTCTTCCCTAAATTAAAGAGATTTGAAAGAAGTATAGAAGCCACTACAACATTCATTAACTAGAGAGTTAAGTCTGCCAAAATAAAGATCAGCAAACCATAGTACATCAGTTCATGTCTAATCGCTACATGTTTGAGGATGAAGTTTGCCTGGGACGCATGTCCCTGTGTTGAACGCCACGAATGACTTCGTTCAGAGCTCTGCTGGGTGACAGTGACCACATGGTCAGCAGAATAAAAGTTGTTTCCCATCTGGTTTCTCTCTTTTAACAGAGATAGTGTAGTGACCACACATTTCTGTCCCCCCCCCCCTTAAATATAAAAATATGGGCTCTGAGTCCGACTCACAGGCATGTGACTTGTGCATTTGCCCTGGCTAAATCATTACAAGGCCCTATGTTTGCGCTGAGGTTCTGCAGTCTTAAAACCCTTTGGACAATTTTTGGTTTTGCCCCTGTTTGTCTGAGACAATGTCTGAATAGCTCAGGCTGGCCTTGAATTTATTATCCTCCTGCCTCAGACTACCAAATAACAGGATTACAGGCTTGTACCATAATATGCATTAAAATTCTTAATCAATTTTGAACAAAGGATCCTGCATTTTCATTTTATGATAGCTCAGGACGGCATGCACAAAGGGCTGGATGGGAGGAATGCCATGAGTCAGTCATAAGTCGTGGAACCCTTCCCCACCTTTCTCTCCCAATGCTGCTTGTACTTTATTTGTCTCGCTCAGTTCCCACTTTTGCCTGAACTTTGCTGATGGTCATACTGTGTCTGGGCAAGGAAGGGCATGCATGGCAGAGAAGCTCCTGCCTTCAGCAAAGAGAGCAACGGTGTAGGGATAGCACACTGTGGCAATGTGGCATGTATCATGCCACAGCTTCAGCCCCTTTACAGTGGCAGAATGGCTAAATTGTAGAAGAACCAGAGGAAGGTAGCTTTGTCTGCTTTGTGTAGATATTTAAAAAAATTATGACGTTCAATATTCAAGAATATTTTATCCATCTTTTTAAAATATAGTAATACATTATGTGATTGGTTTTTATTGCTGCTATTCAGTTTTGTTTTTTTGAAGATAACATGAGAATCCAAACACTGTTTAAAAGACAGCTTATTCTCTGGAATAGAAAGGAAGGCAATGCAGCTACCATCTTACCATTGAAGTTGGATGTGAAGCAGAAAACATCATATCTGCTTTTATCTTTGTCCCAGAACCCATAGTTCCTGACACCAGGCACTGTGTTTTGGCCCCCACAGGGCTCGCGTGGTTTGGTGATAGGGTATTGCACAGATCCATCACTGAGCCAACCAGCATTGCACCAGTCCAGGCCACCTCGCCAGGCATCATACAGCTGGTCGAAGGACGCAATCACAGCATCCTGGTCCAGACAAGCCTGCCGTGCCTCATGAAAGTTAAGATTGTAGCGTCCCAGCCGGGGAAAGTAAGGGAACACGACACCTGTCCAAAGAAGAGGAGGGAAAGGTCATTAGTGCATGTTCAGAACGGTGTGGAGAAAATGTGGGATTCCCAGATGAACTAGGTTTTTTTTCCAGCTTTCAATGCTTTCTCACAGCCCCTTCCCACAGCACACTTTATTGCAAGCATCACACAATTTGCTGTTTGTTACATGGATAGACAACTTCAATGATTTGCCTCTGCTGCTAAGAGCTCAATGTATGCTCAAAATTTCTCTCTTCTGGAAGAGATGCAGCCATGAGTTACAGTGACTACATAGTGTCCTAAAAACATGTCTCCTGCTACTGAATACGGACCCCAAAAGAGATGCTGCAGTACTTTTCTAGGAAGGAAAGTCAGCACTAATAGTAAGGGTGGTGGGGATACTTGGAAACATGATATTTTTAAAAAATTCACAATTTTAAAGTATTCATTACTATTATGGAGTTAGCAAGTAGTTTCCTGTAGTTTTCAAAACAAATGAAGACATATGTTGAATGCTTCAAATATGCATATCCATCTATTTCCACATGTGCTCCTGAAGCCATGCAAGGAAGTGACTGTCTGCTTGGGACTTTTATTTGGAAAAACTTGGATGTGCATATCTAACAAAAGCTTCATCAGCTTTATGTTATATTAATAACACAATTCTGTGCTAGTAAGGCATACCCCATGCAAAGCATTCTAGCTCTTTGTTTCAACTTTAATGTATTCCTTAATTGTTTTTTCCTGACCTTAAAACAGCTAAAACAGGGGCGTCTACTTAATACATTTCCAATGTTACTTATTTAAAGGCCAGGCAAGCAAAGCCAATTGAGAATAAAGCACAGCTCCTTGCAGCAGATATGTACTACATAGTACAGACCTGAAAATAAGTTTCATTCTTAGCTTCTCTATTTATATATTATATTACAAACTAAAGCCAAGGGTTTTGAAAATGCTTTCAATATAAATAGACAAAAATTGTTTCCTTTGACTTGGCCATGAAAGATGAGCACAGAGTAACCATCCATTAACTGACTGGTTAATCTTGAAGAGTCAAGTATTTCAGAGAACAATCCCTTCGTAAATGCAAAGACCATGAATTGGCCATTTGACTGTGTCTGGGAAGACACAATGGTCTTCCAAAAGCATTTCTTTTGATCAAATAATTATTCGGGGAAATCAAGTGCTGTCTCACATAGTTTTGTTTTGTTTTTTTTTTTTTAAAAAAAACTGGATGGATTCCCAAGTATTCAGAATTGCGTCATTTATTGCTTATTAAGGAAGGCATCTGTCAAAGTGTTTACCTTATAGTTAAACAAAGATAACCCAGAGCAAACATTCTTAGAAATATTACTACAACTAATGAATATTTTAGCACATGGAATGCAAGCATCTTGCCTCACTGGCCCAGTAATTTTATGGGTGTTAAGTTCTGCTTTACAAATCGGTAGCTCCTGTTCAAGGTGGTGTACAGTTCTCTAACAACCAGGCATGGCCAGTGTGCTCTTTTCTAAATGATCCTGGACATTTCTACAAGAGGACTTTGAGGCTTTAAATCAAGTCTCATCCCTTGTCCCTCTAGACCAGTCCAGCTGGCACAGGTTACTGCAGGCGACGATCCAAGAAGGCTTTCTGATCTCACCCTGCTTTCTCAGGTTCTTGGCGGAGGGATCTGTCAGCTGGACCAGAGCCAAAGGAAGAAGGCAAACCTCTGACTCCTGCTGCGGTAAGGGGAGGAAGAGACTGGAGATGGCTCTAAGGATGCCCTGCTCCTGTCCAACTGGGACCACTGTGTACCCCGGAATAGAAGTGCTACAATGCTTTCTGTACCTCGTATCATTTGTTCTCTTTTCCTAGCAATCCCAGATGTGTGCCCATGAAGGAAAACAATCCATGGCGCAATGATCTCTTAGTCGCTAGAAGCCAAGTGACAGAAAACCTCCCAACATCTTTATGTGAAGATAGAAACTATTTGTGCCCTTTTCTTTTCCAAATGGTTTATAATGGAAACAGTGGAACATGTAGGATGCTTTAATTTGTAATAGATTTAAAGACCCAGGAAATCTTTCAGATTTAAATTCACTATTGTGTGTCATATGTTATGGTGTTTCTCAAGGGTGGTAGAAAATTTTCATTAGTCCTTGATTACCTGCAATATGATTGATTTATTTCCAAATCCAGTATACTATATCTATTTTAAAGTTGTTTTCTATTTTAACTTAATGTCATATAGTCTTTTTAAAAAGTCAAAAGCCTTTTGTTAACATTTTATTTTCTGTAAAAGTTTAATTATTAACTTTTTAATATAAAAAATTGAAAGTAAAAAGCATCCCCTACTAGGATTAATAGACCCACAGTCTATACGTCACACTGAACTTCTTTACAGTTAGAATGTATATTCTGAACCCATGGAGCTTCATGTTGGGTTTCATCAGCAAGATGCCTACATGCCTAATGGAATCTGGTGGGATTCAGGAGGGCCAGTGTTCAGTGTTATTGTTTTTAAAAGTCACCAATTTGTTCTAGGATGGAAAAATAGCTTCTAGCAAATACAGATCCGTGATTTTGTGAAGGAAATCAGTCTGTTAATATAGTCAGTTTTATTCTTCAGTGTAGAAGACTGGGGAAATTCAGGAAAATAGGACGGTTCGAACTCTACAACTTTCAGCACAAATCTTTTCCTAGTGTGATGACTGAGAAGAAGGAAGATAAAGGCAAGGGCACGTCTGCTTGTGTAGCTTTGTCCACGTGGTGACTTTTAAACCTATTGAATGTAATATATTCAAAAAATAGAAATCCTCCCAAAATGCCTCTATTATTTGATATTTGATGTGTAAAAGACCTTGGGCCATTAAAAGAATTACTTTACTTCTTTGCAAGAATATTTAAGTATACCCAGAGGTTACTTTTTCTGTCAAATTAATTTTTGCAGACATTTTACAGAATACAATTACATGTATTGTACTGCAGATGTCCTTTACAAATCTTACTATTAGTTTGAAATGGAGATAATTTTAGAAGCATAATAAGAAAGTATCTAATTAGAATTTCTCAACAACCATAAAATGGGATTTAAGTTTTGAATAGCATAAGGCTATTTCCAAAAACAATTAATTCAGTTTCATTGCACGTTTCTCTTTGTAAATAGTTTGCAAAGACGTATTCTGCATACATCTCAAATATGAAAGCTGAAATCATATGCAGAAAAAGAATAAAAATTTGCTAGGCTTAGACTTTTAGGTCCTCACATTATTACTGCAGTAATCACTACATGTTATCTCATGAACACAAAAGAGTAGTGACTAGCTATTCCTTCAAAGTTAACGGGTTTTCTGAATGCCTACCTTGCAGCTCCAAAGCTACCACAGCAGTATCGTCTTCCAGTCCTTCAATCACCTCACACTTGTATCTCCCATAATCCTCCAGGGTGAGATCTGTGATGACTAGGGAGGCATCATTGTCACTGCCTCCCTTCAGAAACACTCGACCCTGATATCCACCGTAGGTCTTCTTGTGATAGCCCATGGAAACGAAGACATCCACCTCCCTGAGGTAATCCGAAGTCAGCTTGGTCCACTTGATGCGGATTTTGTGGATTCCTGAGCCAAATGCTGTAGGGTCGCGGTAAAATGTACACGGCAGTGTCACATTGCCACCTCTGTGTGAGAAGACTTTTGCTTGTTCCGCTTCCACAAGGAGACGGGGGCCATTTTCCGCTATAACAACAAAAAAGCAGGGGTGGGGAAGCAGAAAATAATTTCAGGGGCTTGCATACTTTTTCACATAATACAAAGGACCATGTGACAGAGACTACCATTCTCCGTGTCATTGCTTTAAAGCATATATTAAGCTATCTCTAGTAGGAGGTTTCTGTAAGAATCTGTTAAGCTGGGAATGATATGCACAGTCATCATGATAAGTTATGGGATTCAAATGATATTAACGGTTTTATCGTAGGTTCTCAATATTGTTTTGATTCCATTTTTCTTTATTTAAATACCAGAAAAGTAGATGAAAAGTTGCGAGAAGGGACACAGTTCCCTGATAATCAGTATGAGCCCCAAATCTTTCAAGGTTAAGTGAGTCCAACTAGATTTTCTAGTGCAGTAAATCTGAAATACACTGATAGAAAAACTTTAAAGAAACACAGTTCGCTTGTGTCTTATCATTATGGACTTCTGCATTTACGTTTTCTGTTTATGTGCGCGTCTGTACTGCGCTAGTCTAGGGCCCTTCAGGCAATGCTCATGTATCCCATTTCAGCTAAGACTGGGCGTTAGAAGGGCAGTCTTAATGCTGGTGACAAACTCTGGTAAGGTTTGAAATACATTGTCCAAAATTTGAAAGATTCAAGTGTGCTGAAAATTGTACTTATTTTCTAACATCTAACATCTAACATCTAACATCCGTCTTTGTATTTTTAGGTGCCCTCCTTCCTCTCTGTTTCTTTCCTCTCTCCCTTGCTCGTTAATCTTGTTTTACACTTATCACTTCTGCCTTCACTGTTCTTGCCCTTCAGTTTCCTGCATTCACCTGTCAAGGACGTCATGGCTTTCTAAAGAGCACCACGATAATATAAGTTGCTAAGTTAGCAGGGCCTTTGTTTTTAGAAAGCCAGCTGTTATGTTCAGAGATTCGCTTTCCCTGGGGTTCCCTGGTTAGCACTTTATGTTTTTGACCTTGACGTATTCTACTGAGGATACTTGAGATACGAAAAGGAAAAGGTGTAAGAACTCTAGCACAAATATACCTCTTGTCTGCACAACTTTTAAACTATAAAAGCTTCTTTCTATATAGCTTGGCAGTCCTTACAGCCTTAGGACAATTGCTACTGAGCAATCCTTGGACATGAATCTTTTAAGATGTACAAATCACCAAGAAGAACAACCATTTACCTTGAGACAGAGCTCAAAATTTTTTATTGACATATGTGCAATAAGTTTTGATTCAATATTAAAATATCCAAAATTAGGTAGTCTGATGTTATTGTTATCAGAATGGATATTCAAAATTGAGCACATCATTGTATTTATATAAGTGAGCCCCAATCCTCAGAAACTGAACAGTGCAACAAAATCATCCACGTTCTCACTTTCAATAGATACTGTAGGTGGAGAAGAATGACTTTATAGAGTAGTTAGTTAAAATGAATGTGCACGAACACAGTACATTAAACATTTTATATATTCCAATCATTATTTCTCTTAGCAAAAGAGAATCTGAAGACAAAATGACAACTGTCCTTTCTGTTCTACCCCACATACACATATATATGTATTCATGTATGTATACACATATATACTTGCTCCACGCAATATCCAGGTCTGTATCTAAATTCTATCTAAACATCTCTAGCCATATTTCTCAGGGTAGAAAAAGATTCTGCTGACTGACTATGCTTATCAGTGGCCATAAGGGACATAGATGCCTGGTGTTTGAAGGACACACCTGGACTTTTCGCCATGCTGGGCTTTGAGTACAGATAGAAACACTGCACATTTCCACAAGAAGTCTCAGTTTTGTGATTGTCCAAGTTATCCAATTTAATGTTAAAACCAATACCCATCATGCAAAGATAAAGGGTACAGCAGCACACACGAAAAAGCCTTTCCATGGGATAGAGACCCCAGCCTAGTCTCACTGTGTCAGTGTAGAACGGTTTCATTTGGGCTCGCTGTGCATCCCTTAGGCTTGTGCCTTGCAGATGAACTCAGGATAGTAAAGCAGGCACATAGTAGACCTTGCACACACGACACACATAGAGCACTGTCAGGATACAGCCCCTGGCACCAATGCTGGGTGTCTGCTGCACAGCTTTCACCCAGTGTCTGCCCAGTGCCAAGCAGACTTGTCATGTATAGATATTCTGTACCAACTGCTTGTCATGCTGTTGAGCCAAACAGGTAAAAAAATAAAGAATATATCAAATTCAAGCTGTTTATATTTTTACATATAAACAGAAAAGGGACTTGGGAATTTGTGGGTTTAGTCCAATTGTAAGATGTTTCAAGATGAATCCAAGATCTTGTTTTAAAAATAGCAACAAAACACTTATACCAAGGACTGAGACTTCTATGTTTCTGTTTTTAACTGTTAGCACTGCTTCTATAGTATTTCCTGTGGGCAGAGGCTGCCTTATGTATTTCAGGGTTTAACCTTCTTTCCAGGCTATGTGAAAGTCTAGGGTTCTTACTTTTTAATGGGAATAGTGAATTGCCTGAAATTCAGATATCCCTAAGAAGGATGCCTAGCACATTTGGTAATGAATGACCACAAGTGTTTATTAACCCAAGCCCCATGACTCTGACGATGGCTTTGGTTTACATTTTAGAGAATGTCTACTGCAGATTATAAAGCACTGAGCATGACTGGAGAGAAGGATCTGTTACCCAACAAGAAGATATGGGGGAATGAAACCTGGCTAGCAAGTCAGATACTTTCAGAGCTCTGTCAAAGCCCTACTATATCTCAGCTCCACCATGTTTACCACGGGAGAACACCTAGCTGAATCCTGTCACAAGGCTCTGTGTTGCAGACTTCCATCACATGGACCAGCCAGGAAACATAGTAAGCAAGGAAATGAGAAAGAAATGACAACAGCATCAGAAAGGATCCAAGAGAGCTGAAGGCAGAATGGACAGGGTTGCCAAAAGTAAAGACTCTTTGATCTGATCATGAAGATTAATTATTTTTCTTTGTTTGTTAGTTTTCTATTTCCCAGACAAGGTTTCTTTATGTAGACTTGACTGTCCTGGAATTCATTCTATAGATGAGGCTGGCCTCACCCTCAGAAATCTGCCCGTCTCTGCCTCACTAGTGCTGGGATAAAAGATGTTTGCCTCCACCACATGGTATTATTGATCATGAGATTTCAGATCATAGCTTAGTCTGATATATTCATGAATCAATCAAAATTCTTTGAGTGGCAGGACAGAGGGTCTCATAGCAACACAAAGGCAAAATAGAAAATTAAACCTTGATCTTCAGAATCAGTACTGGTTTCTTCTTAAGAAAATGAAAGAATAAAATAAAGCTGCACATGTGTGTGTTTATTTTGTTCCTATCCTCACTCTAGAGTCACACAACTCTTAAGTAAGCTGAAGTCCTTGTCCTTAAATGAGGCTGTTTACTCAAAACATAAAGGTCATTCGGGAAATTAAAGATGCCCAGTGGGGGACGTGACTGTTTTGAAGTTTGTCTTCTAAGGATGAAATTACTTGTTTCTAACAGAAATGGTGAGTGACCGTGACTTGAGAGACTTGATGCCCTTCCAAGCTCAGAGCTACCCCGGGGGAAAGAGCAGGGCATGGAGAACGCCAACTGGGGATGCACTGGCCCGCTGGGTGCCTGTTATTGTTTTACAGACTGCTGTGAAACCAGCGCATAAACTCAGCCACACCGCGTGGCAGCAGTGACCCTTGGGTTTGCCGTATGCTGTCGGTGAAATCTTTAAACAACAGGTTAAAAGCGATTGTAGAAAAAATATTAGCAACACAGCCTTAAAACTGTTGTTCTTAGTTTTATTAGAAGTGTAATTGTTTCGAAGTTTCATGTTGAGAGAAACCCAGGTAACAAAAATAGGAAATGTACTGTGAGTCAAAGCTCATCCCTTTGAGATAGTCAAGCAAGATGACAATTCTTGGCAGGTTACTTTCTCCTCTGGTGTATGGGCGCTAGCAAGTTTCAGAATTTTAGATTTCTTAAAACAATTGAAAAAGAAAAGTGGTCACTTATTTAAAATAGTCAAATATGGGAATTAAATATACATGTCTGCAAAAAAAAACCAGAACAACAACAAAATAACCTTGTTACTGCTTTTTTGGTATCTATGACTCCATAAGGTATCCATGACTATAAATACATGTGTATAGTCACACATATACATACTTACACATTTTCAAGTCATTCATGTGTGCAATGAGGTGCCACTACCTGCTTCCACTGGACTATGAGGCCATCACTGAACTTTTTTCTCACATAAAATAGAAAGCTAATTGCTCTTGTATCCTAAACACATAGATAATGATGCTACTGCAAGCCCAGGACAAGTCATTTGAAAGACTTTGAACAAAGTTTTAAAAATTCTTTCTGAAAGAAAAATTGTGTGTGTGTGTATGTGTGTGTGTGTGTGTGTGTGTGTGTGTGTGTGTGTATGTGTGTGTGTGTATGTGTGCGTGTGTGTGTAGTGGGGGAGTTGTTTGCCTGTTTGTGTGCATACTTTCATTTTTTGAAAACTTTGAACTTCGTATATGTGTTTTATATACACAATGTTTAACACTGATATGAAAATAAGTTAAAAAGAAATTTCTTAAGTAATAAACTTTTAAAAATAAAACAAATGGGCATACAGAAATCAAAATAAACAAACAAACAAAAGCCACAAGTTCTTGTCTGTGGTACCTCAGGAAAGACATACCAGAAGCCACCAGGTGTAATTATGGTGTCTTGTAATGAATAAATATTACACTTTTTTTTTTTTTACAGGAAGCCTGCTGCTCTCTTAGCAAAACTGATCTCTCGAGGCAAGATTTTAAAGATGTTCATTTCATTTCTCTTACTCCTTAAAGGCAGTGTTTCCAAGAACGCTTGTGGTGTTTTGAGTTATAACTGAAAAGCCCAATGCTGGAAACAGGGTAATGACAATCACCCTTTTGGGCAGTGATTGCTGTTGTTTCTCATCTTTAGCAGCGCTGACTTCAAACTACACAAGCGTCAAGATCATGTTCCTTGTGCCCATTTCACCTCCTCTCTACGCCCTGGTCCTTCTCTAACAACCACAGAGTCTCTGCACCCAATTCTTCCTCGTTAATCTATCGAATTATCCAGAATTGTAGTTTTACAAACTTCTCAGGCAGTAGGTGGGGAGACCTGTATTTTCTGGTCGGTTGTGCTATGGAGCAAGTACCCTCTAGGAACTCAGCTCACGGTCTTCCTCGCTTGCTTTCTGGCTAAGCTGGCAGTGATGGGAAATCGCTCTACGTGGAAAGGCAGTATTGTTTGGGAGCATTCTGATCACGAGTGTGCGCTGTGTTACTGTTACTGAAAACTTCACAGGAAGAAGTTAACACACTTGCCACTGCTACTATAAATCCTAAACGTGTATTTACAGCAATATTGAAAACAATTTTTTTGCCAATAAAAACACGCATTTCTGCTTGAGCTAGGCATCAAGAGACCCAGAGGAACCCTATGGAGTCAAATGAATTACATTGCAAAAATCTCGATTCTGAGATCTACACCTAAATCTGTGTTAAGATATTAATAAATATTCTGCCTTTTACATGTCTATTTTCTTCATATTTTAGTATAAGGAAGATATAAAAAGAGGTGGTTTATCTCTGTTTTACTAATAGACTTCTTTGTGGGCTTCTTACTTTCCCATGTTAATTATGTCCACTCCTTTTTCACTAGCAAAGATGTTAGTTAAGCATACGGGCTATGGCTCTTAGATCATGACGCCAGTTCTCTCTGACCCCAAGTTTCCTCATAAGTACAGGAGAACAAGACAATCTCATCCTGGGATCCTTAGGAATCGTTACTTAAACTCAACATACAGACAGCTCTGCTAGCGCCTGACTAAGCGAGTGTCCAGTTAAAGTTACTTGTGCGGAGAAACATTTGCTCGGTGCTCATGAGTCTGGTGTATTTATCATCTAACCTTCTACTCTTCCAGGCTCTTCCAGAAAACAGTTTTTAGGATCAGTCAGCTTAAAACCCATCACTTCCTCAGTCCTCCTGCTCAGACGTCTAAGGCCATCAACCTCCAAGAGGCTCTATCCTGCTCTTCTGGCCTACTGGCAAGTGACAGATGCTGGGATACAAGGTTTCTTTTTCCTCAGTGGTGTAGCCTCTGATGAGCCCCTCTTGCTGTGCAAATAACCTCCCGTTCATGCTCAGGCAGAAAAATTCAAATTAACCTCAAGGAGTCACACACAGAAGGAGGACGTGAATGTCTGAATGTTGGGAGGATTTGTCTGGGAGGAAGGATTCACTGGGAAAAGGAGAATAAAAGAGTGGGATGGGGTGTGTGAAAATGCCTAAAAAAATGTTATATACATATGGACGAATGTCATAGGTTTCGGACAATCTTTACTGGGATGGATTCACAGCATTCTCCTCCCCTTGATCTCATGCTTAGCTAAAGCACCATGGCAGCCTGGAGGCACGTTTCTAGTCAGGGCCAAGACTAAACTTTTCAGAGTGATTTGTTTCATTTGGAACACAGTTCTAAACAACTGGAGCAGCAATGAGTGGAATAAAATGTCGACCATTTTTACCTATCCCTTCACTCAAATAGTACCTCCCTCAAGAGTGGGGATGTTTCCACGCAGCTTGTCTGGCTCCTCTGAGAGCGTGGCTCTCAAGAGAGAACAGACTGCTCCGCGGGAATCTCAGCTTCAATAGCTGACAAGCACCTGCCTCAGGCAGGATGCTTAGTCTCCGTCAATGTTAGTGAGACTCACCACTGACACATCCCTGTTGGGGAGAAATAGATGGGATGATAGGATTCTCTTTCCATCATTCTTCTACAAGGAAGAGATTGTATATGTAAAGGCTGACGCACTGGCATTCTGCCATGATGTCTGTTATTTGTTTCAGAGCAAGAGATGGTTTTAGTATTTTTGTTAACTACAGAGTTCTCTTCTCTGGTTAATAATCTTCAGGATTTAAATTCATTTGTGTTACCAGTGGATAACAGGTAGAATTTAGCATTAAGTTCTTACTAATTTAGACTGCAAAAAAAAAATAAATCAGGGTATCATAGAAAGATTAAGGAAAAGAGAAAAAAGATCAAATTGGGATAATTCATCAGTGTATTGAATGATACTGTTAAGATAAATGGGACATGTATTTCTCAGTGCTCAGGGATCCATTGGCAGCTGATCGATGCTGAGAGAGGGAGTATCAGTTTTCCTAAGGGGGAGGCCCATGGTGGATTGATCTTATACCAGTGGAGGAGAATACAGGCAGCAGAAACTGTATTTGATGGGCCTTCAAAAGAGAGGGAACAAGCCAGGTGGTGGTAGCACATGCCTTTAATTCCAGCACATGGGAGGAGGAGGCAAGTCGATCGCTGTGAATTCGAGGCCAGCCTGATCCACAAAATGAGTTTCAGGACAGCCAGGGTAGTTACAAAGAACAAAGAAACCCTGTCTAGAAAAACCAAAAGGAAAGAGGACACAGATTTTGGTGGGTAGGGAAGGTGAGTGTGGATCTACCAGAGCAAGGGTAGCAATGAATATTGTATGAAATTCTTAAGGAATTAATAAAGATGAGAAAAAAAGATAAATATCCTTTCCAAGATGGTCACTTTCAGGATGTGTTTCAAACTCTTTAAAGAAACTGGAACAATAGTGTATGCTGTTTTCTTTAATATCTGAGATTATTCCCATATTTCCTAATTGTTGGAACTCTTCTATTATGTCGCAAAGGAAAAGAACTCAAATCACTTGTTTCCACGCAGAAAGTTTCTATTATGGGCCGAAGTAGATGTTCAACTGACTTTAGAAAGAATTTTTAATTGTACACACTGATAAGATCAACAGCTTAACATAATGAAAGATATCATAGGAATACAAAAGCACTTCGAAAATTATTTAGGGAACTTTATTGTTTTGCTAATAATCATGAATTATTAAGCCTTCAGTGGGGTTAGGTATTGAGTTTAGGGATAAAAGAAAAGAAAATATAAGTCTGTTGGGAGCATGAAAGTTCTTGTGCCAACAGATCCCCAG